TACGCGAAAGGGAAGGCAGTAAACGATGCGAGAAGCAACAAACAACTACAGTTTGAAAATGTGTGAGAGAGCATATTTCATTCGGTGTAAGATATATTTGGTACAAGATAATACTGGTTTCGCAAACAAGAGGAGCAACAACGAGTCGTCAAAGTCATCAAAGTAGGATCGATCGTACGTCGGCGGAGACGTACTCGACTCTCATCGATGTATGTTTCAATGTAGCTCGCGTCGTTCGTTTCACGATCGATGGAAAAACACAGTGGAAAGAAATAAAAGTTGTTACCGTACCAATGAAAAATTATACGACAGAGAGCGAATAGCAACAGGCATCAAGAGGAAGAGAAAGAAGAATCCTTTTGCTGCAATTGCAAGAGTTTCAATTACGAATACAGATAAATCGTATATCTGTGTGCCTGTGTGTGTGTGTGTGTGTGTGTCGGCGTATACATGTATATTTATAGTATATCGACAAATAGTGACGTAATTTTCACGTGTTTTTGCTTACCGGGATAGAGTTGTTGCGAACTGGCGATCGAGGACGAAGGCTGCTCCTGAACCCTTCGAGAAAATTCAGTCTGCCTTTGCTAGGACTCGACTGTGTTTGCGAAGAATCCTGATCCACCGCTCCACGTGGTCGCTGTTGCAAAACCGACGTTGTCGCCGTTGCTGTCCCCGTGGCTGCCACAGCCATAGCCGTAGCTAGTGTAGTCTTTGAACTGCCAGCACCACCAACAGCCATTTCGTTTCTCCATTCTTCGTTTGTATGAAATACGTTTGGTATTGTTGTTGCTGTTGTTGTTGTCGTCGTCGTTGTCGTCGCAGCAGCAGCAGCAGCAGCAGCAGCAGTCGTTGAAAGTACACTTCCTCGAGACGGAGAGTCCGGACTCACGCCACGACTGTACGCCAGCAAATTATAAATGAAATTCAAACACGATACTGCATCCATAGGGACATGTATACGGGAATATTTCTCGCCTCGAGAGTTGCGTGTCGCACTCTACCAAACGAGACATCATTCACTCGATTTTCACATCAACGCTCGGACAAATCCATCTACCACGTAACGTACTTATTATTACGCTTATTCTTTCGATGTATATTGCAATGCACGGTGTGTGTAGTCAGTCAATGTACTCTCTCTGCTACTTGACAATTTCCTTCCTCCTCCTCCTCCTCCTCCTCCT